GGGCAGTAGTCCTCAAAGATGTGAATGGGAGAGCCTTTATATTTCAGCTTACCACGCATTCTCCGGGCCGCACGCACCACTAGCTCCCGGGTCTGAAATCGGCTAAAACAAACAACCATGGACCGTGGTTGCTGAGAGGGCCCCAGTTTAGCGGCCAGGGTGCAGTGAGCCCTATCCAATTCGGGCGACGAAGTGAGAATATTGTCCCCAAATACCTCAAAAAGCATCTGGGAGAAAAATGCAGTTGGTTGGGGGCCTTCGATGCCTTCTGGGAGGCCAACAATGCGCAAGTTGTTGCGGCGACTCCTTCCTTCAAGATCCGTTAGCCTAGCTTTCAACTTGACGTTGTCAGCTAGCAAAGCCGTGATCTTAGATTGCACATTCTGCAGATCTCCGTCAGCAGAGCTCGCAAACTCCTCCAGTTATACGTTGATGGTGGTCGTTAAAAGTGGTCTGAAAATTGTCCAATTTGGTCTCAAGTTTTCAATATGATTATTTAAATCCCGAAAGAAGCGCCTCTTTGTGCTCGGCTAGCTTAGCTGTTAGCAGCGCCATGATGGAACTGGTGAGGTCATCGTCACCTCTCTTCGATCTTTTCGACATTCTCGAACAAAAAGGGTGTAAAACACAAAAGGTAAAAAAGGTAAAGGTTTTCTCAGGGACGGGGTGACACCATCATCCTGCATTAGCGCTCGTTCAGTCATGGCAGCAATTGCTTGGACCTTCTCTGGATCGGTTTCCACGCCACTCTCATCAACAACGTGGCCAAGGAATTTTACACTTCACTGAAAAAAGTGGTACTCTTTAGGCGCAAGTGTTACAGGTACTGACTGGCACCATGTAACCAGCGTATATGCTCTCTCAGTGAGACAGGCAAACTCTGCATCTATTTTTCCTCTCGCTCAGTAGAAAGAGAGAAAGTGGATTTATTAAAAAATTCACAATTTAAATCCCATTCGGTTACTAACACTCAATGTTCTCTATCAAATAAACACAACTTCAAAATACAATACAATTTGTCTTTTTCCAGCAAATACTGAGTTATAATTTTTGTGTTATTAAACAAAACAAAATGACAGTAACCACTGTTACCCCTGTAAATTGTGTTTTTTCATCTTAAAATAAAACATAGCTTACATATGGTTCCTAAATGCATTTCCATTTCCAACTAAAATCATTTTACTCTTCCAAAATGCATGAGCTGACAGATTTTTAACTTGTCTTTAACCACTTTTAATATGAATAACATTTCTTTTTAACATTAACTTTGAACTGTTTTACAATACATAAACTCAGCTTTTAACAATAGCTTTCCACATTTAACACAATATAATACATCTTAAAACTTTTAGACTTTACAAAAATGTTGTAGAAGCTAAAGTAAAACTCTGACCGACGTAACTTCAGTAGCAACAAGTAATGATTTCAAGCGCGAAAATGCTGCTATTGCTATATGTACGTATATGTCCTAATATTCATAAAACGGCATTATTAGCGGACATTTAAACATACAGCGACATGTCATATATTACATCTCAGTCGCTTAGCTTAATTTACTATTCCACCAACTTGGAAACAGGAGAAATAAGTGAGACATGCAAACTCTGCGTCCATTTTTAATCTCGCTCAGCAGAAAGAGGAATAGCTGCAAAGCGAACCAAACTGACGTAAAGCCCCCTGGAGCACAATAAGTGTCACACTGCCCTCTGCTAGCGACCCCACAATTACTCCTGATATCTATATAAAAGATTTCAGTGCAAGGATGGTGAAAACAGGTTGGTTACCCATTCAAACATTAATTATAGAATTACTGAAACTACCACAAATGTGACAACACTTTAGTGGCCTTCACACAAGCTTTAATCCATGTGCACTCACCTTCATCGGGCGCAAAAACAAGCAGGTCATCAAAATAGCAGAGTAATGTTAAAAAAATCTGGTCGCCAAAGATGTTGGTCATGAGGCACATAAAACTAGCTGGTGCATTACATATCCCCTGGGGCATGTGATTGAACTCATGCAGCCCAATGGGCATGGTAAAGGCAGTCAGTTTTTTGTCTATCTCACACATGGAGATATTATAGTACCCTGATGTTAAGTCCATGGTGCTGAAGAATGGGCTCCCACCAAGAGCAGCCAGGCAGTCCGTCTGATGTGGCATTGGGTGGGCATCTTTGACAGTCTGAGAATTCAGCCAGGAGTACCAGGGGTGACACCCACTCGCTGGAAGACTTCCGGATGATTTCTTTCTCTTCCATCTCCGACAGCACCTGTCTCAGCTTTTTGTTATGACCAGGTGGGACACATCGATATGGGAGTCTGAACAAGCCGAGAATGGATCCGATGGACAAAGCCAGTGGCCTTGCCACAGTCCAACTTGTTTCTGGAAAACAGGCCCTCATACTTTTGGATCAGGTTGGATCACTGACCTTTCCAATAATTCAAAACATTACAGGAATGTATGTCACTCAATCCAGGTTGATTCAGGGCATCACTGAAGTTGGGGGTAGAGTGGGGTGAGTGAAGTCCACCAGAATCAGGGCCGTGCATGGTTTGACTATTCACCTGAAGATATTTTGAGGGGGACTGGGGAACATTCACCTCCAAGTCTTCCAGAGCAACGCATGGGAACACATCAGCCAACTTGGTGTTTCGCCTCAATTTGCTTGTATCTACAGGGGTTGGACAATGAAACTGAAACACCTGGTTTTGGACCACAATACTTTATTAATATGGTGTAGGGCCTCCTTTTGCGGCCAGTACAGCGTCAATTCGTCTTGGGAATGACATATAGAAGTCCTGCACAGTGGTCAGAGGGATTTTAAGCCATTTTTCTTGCAGGATAGTGGCCAGGTCACGACGTGATGCTGGTGGAGGAAAATGTTTCCCGACTCGCTCCTCCAAAACACCCCAAAGTGGCTCAATAATATTGAGATCTGGTGACTCTGCAGGCCATGGGAGATGTTCAACATCACTTTCATGTTCATCAAACCAATCTTTCACCAGTCTTGCTGTGTGTATTGGTGCACTGTCATCCTGATACACGGCACCTCCTTCAGGATACAATGTTTGAACCAGTGGATGCACCTGGTCCTCCAGAATGGTTCCGTAGTCCTTAGCAGTGACGCGCCCATCCAGCACAAGTATGGGGCCAAGGGAATGCCATGATACGGCAGCCAAAACCATCACTGATCCTCACCCATGCTTCACTCTGGGCAAGCAACAGTCTGGATAGTACGCTTCTTTGGGGCTTCTCCACATCGTAACTCTCCCGGATTTGGGGAAAACAGTAAAGGCAGACTCATCAGAGAACAATACATGTTTCACATTGTCCACATCCCAAGATTTGCGCTCCTTGCACCATTGAAACCGTCGTTTGGCATTGGCACGAGTGACCGAAGGTTTGGCTATAGCAGCGCGGCCGTGTATATTGACCCTGTGGAGCTCCCGACGGACAGTTTTGGTGGAAACAGGAGAGTTGAGGTGCACATTTTATTCTGCCGTGATTTGGGCAGCCGTGGTTTTATGTTTTTTGGATAGAATCCGGGTTAGCACCCGAACATCCCTTTCAGACAGCGTCCTCTTGCGTCCACCGTTAATCCTGTTGGATGTGGTTCGTCCTTATTGGTCGTATGCTGACACTACCCTGGATACCGTGGCTCTTGATACATCACAAAGACTTGCTGTCTTGGTCACAGATGCACCAGCAAGACGTGCACCAACAATTGGTCCTCTTTTGAACTTTGGTATGTCACCCATAATGCTGTTTGCATTGCAATATTTTGAGCAAAACTGTGCTCTTACCCTGCTAATTGGACCTTCACAGTCTGCTCTTATTGGTTCAATGTGCAATTAATGAAGATTGGCCACCAGGCTGGTCCTATTTAGCCATGAAACCTTCCACACTAAAATGAGAGGTGTTTCAGTTTAATTGTCCAACCCCTGTATCTGCTTGTCACTTGGATTGATGATTTTGACTGGCACCCATCTGTCCCCTGACATTGTAGCCCTCCCTACCATGACGTTCTTCCTGTGTGTGTGGGAACTCGGAGTGTCAATGAGAATGGCACTACCTGCTGAGACAGGTGAGTTAGCTGGGAGCCTTCCCCACACAAGATGTTCATGATGTGGCAGCAATGTTACAATATTACTTATTTTCATCATTAATATATATATTTTTTTATCATATTGTTTGTTTTTTTACAAAAATATGCCTGAAAACACTCTACAAACTACTCATCGACCCGCTAGATCAGTAGTTGAACGCCTACGGCTGCTGGAGTTACGGTTATGTAGTGTTATTGGACCCGTAACTACAACTACTCTTGATTACGCAGCTTCGGTCTACTTTGGGCACAAGTCCCAGAGGCCCACGACTTGTGGAGTGGCACACGCCGAAGGAGGAGCAAGTGGTGTGACCGGCGGTGGAAGCAGGGCTGTCATGTTGGATTAATAATTTAACTAAAAGCTAACCCCTACAGAATGCCCCTTCAATCCACCCTGCTCTTCAACGTCCACTCACTGGACAACTAAATAGACCATTTACAACTTTAGCTCTCTTCAAAGAGGGAACTTGAAAACTGTTGTGCTCTCATCCTGACGGAGACATGGCTTACTTCATCAATTCTGGACTACGCCGTTTGACTGGAGGGGCTCGCTACTTTCCGTGCAGATAGTCTGTCTTAGCTGCAAGTCCCGAGGGGCCGGGCTGTGCATTTACATCAACAACAACTGGTGTAAAAATGCTAGATCAGTCGCCAACCACTGCTCTCTGGACATAGAGCTTTTGACTGTTGACTACAGACCTTTCTACCTGCCAAGAGAATTTACTGTTGTCAGCATTTCTCCTGTTATGTGCTTCCCAGCGCAAATGCAAAAGATGCTATGAGTTTTCTCTATCGGACCATCTCCGAGCTGCAATCTGCACCCACTGAGCATGTTTTCATCATTACTTTAACCAGGCCAATATGAAAACTGTTCTCCCTCATTTCTACCAACACATGGATTTTGCAACTCGAGGAGAGAACACTCTAGACTTAGTTTATACAAATATAAAAGACGAATTCAGAGCAGCCCCATGCCCCCACCTCGGCTCTTCAGATCACCTCTCTGTAATGCTAATTCCTGCATACAGGCCCCTGCTGATCAGAGCTAAACCTACAGTGAGGCAGGTGAGGGTTTGGACTGAGGGCGGCATGAAGGCACTCCAGGACTGTTTTGAGTGCTCTGACTGGGACATGTTCAAAGCTGCAGCAACATATGACAACATGATAAACATAGATGAGTATGCCATGACTGTGTCAGCCTACGTTAAAAAATGCATCGAGGACGTCAGCACCACAAAGAAAATCACCCGAGCCAACCAAAGACCCTGGATGACTGAGGAGGTTCGCCAAGCACTCAAAGTACAGAACTCAGCCTTCAAGTTGGATGACAAGGAGGCACTGAGAACAGCAAGAGCCAACTTGAACCATGCCATCAGGTTAGCGAAGCGGACCCACAGTAAGAAAATCCAGGATCTTTTCCACGACACCAGCAACACCAGGCGCATGTGGCAAGGCATATGGGTGATCACTGATTACAACAAGCCCTCCCCCCTGGTAGGTGAAGTTGATGCTGACTTCCTCAATGGACTAAATAAATTCTTCTGAAGTTTTGAGGCACTACACACCACTCCAGCTGTGAAGGCTGTTCCCCATCAGGAAGAGGAGGTACTCTGCCTTGACACAGCCGATATGTGGGACTCTGAGAAGAGTCAACCGCGGGGAAGGCCCCAGGTCCCAACAACATACCTGGGCGGGTGTTCAAGGAGTGTGCAAGTCAGCTAGCAGGTGTCCTCACAGACATTTTTAACACCTCGCTGGACCAAGCCACAGTGCCAGCGTGCTTTAGGTCTGCCTCCATTATTGCGGTACAGACATACCAAAGAAACCTCATGTCACCTGTTTTGACGACTCCCGGCCCGTTGCACTGACTTCCATCATCATGAAGTACTTTGAAAGGCCGGTAAAAGAACACATCTTCTCCAGTCCCCACCGAGTGAATGACAAAGGGATCCGTGCTGACTCATCAGACAAACGGAGATAAACAGAAAATCAAAAAGCCAAAATATGAGCAGTCCACCGCTTAAGGTCCCTTCATTTTATTTTGGAGCCAGCAGCCAGCAGCCCACCGCCATTTGGAGCCCATTTTGGCGGTGTTGACTCAGATTTAAATAACCTGTTTGCCAGGCAAACTGCAGCTTACGGCCACACCAGCCTGTGTCCGCCCGATCTCGTCTGATCTCGGAAGCTAAGCAGGGTTGGCCCTGGTCAGTACTTGGATGGGAGACCGCCTGGGAATGGCTCATGACC